CTTCCCACCCCCCCCCCCCCCGAGTGCACAAATTTTTGTGCGCCGGGCCACTAGTATACACACACACACACATATATGTATATATGCATATATGCATATATGCATATATGTATATATGTATATATGTATAGATATACATATTTATAAGAACACTAGAGGCCCGGTGCATGACATTTGTGAGCTGGGGGAAGGGGGAGTACCTCAGCCCAGCCTGCACCCTCTCGCAGTCCGGGACCCCTTAGGGGATGTCCGCCTGCTGGGGAATGGGCCTAAGCCTGCAGTCGGACATCCCCCAAGGAGTCCTTAGTACTGCCACAGAGGCAGGAGAGGCTCCTGCCACTGCTGCAGTGCTTGCCAGCTGTGAGCCAGGCTTCTGACTAAGCGGTGCTCCCCCTGTGGGAACGCACTGACCATCAGGGGGCAGCTCTTGCGCTGAGTGTCTGCCCTCTGGTGGTCAGTGCGTGTCATAGCGACTGGTCGTTCCACCACTCAGTCAATTTGTATATTAGGGTTTATTATATAGGATATATAAAATCTGTTACATATACCTGCAAATTTTTTTATTTTTTTAATATATATTTCTTGATTTCAGAGAGGAAGAGAGAGTGAGAGAGATAAAAACATCAATGATGACAGAGAATCACTGATTGGCTGCCTCCTGCACGCCCCACACTGGGGATTGAGCCCGCAATCCAGGCATGTGCCCTGACCAGGAATCATACCATGACTCCTGGTTTATAGGTTGATGCTCAGCCACTGAGCTGTGCTGGCCGGGCTCTGCAGGTATTTTGATAAGCAAATTTTAAGTTCTTATAAAGTCCAATTTACAAAAAGATTGTTTTTATGGTTAGTCCTTTTTATGTCTGCTCTTTAAAATCTTTGCCAACCCCAGAATGACGATGATATTGCCCTAATATTTCTTATAGAAGCATTACAGTTTTAGCTTTTCTGTAATCCACCCAAACTTGATTTCTGAGTGGGATAAGATAAAGTTCACTTATCCAGTTTTCCACCATTTACGAAAGCATTTTCCCCAATGAATTTGGAGGCTCTGCTGGAACCAACGGTTCATACATACATGGGTCTATTTCTGGGCTCTTTATTATGCTCCACTGATGTTTACCTTTACAGCACCCTGGTTACTGTGGCTTATAAAAGTCCTAAAATCAGGTACAGGGAGTCCTCCTGCTTACATTCTCTTTCCTACGATTGCTTTGGGTATCCTAGCTCCTATTTTTTTTAATACATTTTAAAATCAACTTATATGAAAAAGTCTATTGGAATATTGTTTGAGATTACATAAGATTTATAGCTCAGTTTGGGAAGAACTGACTTCTCAATGATACTGAATGTTCCACTTCCGTATAGGTCTCTACTTATGAACTCTTCTTTAGTTTCGCTCAGAGATGTTTTATGATTTTCAGTACAGAGGTGTTGCACCAGTTTTGCTCAGTTGACTCCTAATAATTTCTTTGGGGAGGGGTGATATTTTAAATGTTTTCTATTTCATTTTCCATTTGTTTGCTGCTAATAGCATACATCTGCCAATTATTGTCAATATAGTGACCTGATGAATTCAATTATTGCTTCTAGTCCTTGTTTACAGATTACTAAGATTTTCTATTTAAACAGTCACATCATCTACACATAGACATCTTTATTTCTCCCTTTCCAATCTTAATGCCTTTTATGTCTTTCACTTTTCTTATTACAGTAGCTAGGACCTCCCCTGAAGAACAGAGATGAAAGCAGACACCTTACCGCGTTCCAACTTCGGGGGGACATGCTCCATATCTCACATTACAGTAACAGGAAGTCAGCTGCGCATTCTCTGTAAATGCGCGTTATCAGATTGAGACAGGGCCCTGGTAGTCTCAGCCGGCTGAGAGTTTTTTCCATGAATGGCTGCTGGATTTGCCAAGTCATTCTCTAAATTGATTAAGAAGATTATGTTTTTAAAAATCGTTTATTTGCTTAATGTGGTGACTTCCGTTGGCTGATTTTCAGATGTGAAAGCAAACTTGCAGTCCTGGAATAAATTCTACTTGGTCACTGTGAATCCCCCTTTGTATAAATTCAACCTGGTAACACTTGGTTAAGGATTTTTGTGTCCATCTTCATGGGAAATATTGGTCTGTAATTTTCTTTTCTGGCGAAGTCTTTGCCAGGTATCAGGGTGACACTGACCTTACAGAGTACATTGGGAAGGGTTCTCGCCTTTTCTGTCCTAAAAGCGTTTATGTAATATTGGTATTTTTTCCCTTAAATTATTGGCAGAAATCAACA